TGTATCAGTTTTATACAGTTTTTAATAGAAAGCTGAAGCAGCCACAATAATTGACTTCATCCTGTGAGACCAACATTGCCTCAATTCCAAACCCAAGACATTACAACAAGAGAGAATCACAGGCAAGTACCCCCCACACATACAAATACGAAAGTCTTACAAACCATTAGTGAATTGGATTAAACCATACACAAAATTAATCATACACCATAATCAAGTGACTCAACACTCAGAAATCAGCTTAATTGATTACATCAACAGAAGAAAGAGGAAAAAGGATGCCCATACCTGTTAGTATTCAGGCATCTGGACTGGCCTGTCCTTGGGGTTCTGACAGGATACACCCTCAGCTGCAGCTACTGAGAGCGCCACCTGTGCATGTTCACTGTGTTCCCTTTTAAAAGGGCCCTGCCCACCTCCCATCCTCCTTTCTCTTCTTCCATCTGTCCTCCCATCTCTCTGCTCCTCTTTCCTCTCTCTTGCTGCTCCTGTTCCCAGAGGCTGGCCTCCCCCTCCCCCCTTCCCCTTCCTCTTTTTATGATTCCTTTTCCTAATAAAAAACTGCTCTGCTTGTACCCCGTCTTTCTTAAATTACAACAATACCTATAAATGGATTTGTAAAACTTTTGACAAAATTTAAATCTATATTCATGTTAAAAAGCTCTCAGTAACTTGAAATAAAAGGATGCTTCCTTGATTTGATAGAGAGCCTATTTAGGGGAGGGAAATAGAGAGGGACCTGGAATTGACATGTGAAGCAACCTTGTTTCTAATTTAAATTTAAAAATAAAAAATATATATAAATAAAAAAGAGAGCCTATTTAAAAAACAACAACAACAAAGAACTCTACAGCCAACATAACACAATGTTGAGAAACTATGTTTTCCCCTGACTGCATAAACAAGGCAAGGACCTCCTCCCCCAATATTCCTAATCAACATAGGGCTAGCTGACGCAATGAGATCTTAAAAACGGGGTGGCGGAACTGGGCATAGATGGAGAAGCTGGGATAGAGGGGGGTCAGAAGCAAGAGGATTTCTTCAAAGTTCAGGCTAAAATTCTAAACAGGGGCTGCCCCAACTTGTTATTGCAGCTGTGGATGCAAAATGGCGCTGAGGCTCCAGAAGTTAGCAGCCATTGTCTCGCAGAGCCAAACACAGCCTTACCGCAGGTCCAGGGACTACGCTCCTACATGAGTTCATGACCACACATCAACCTGGACATAGCAGTTCACAGCTGTCAAACACTGGAAGCAACAGAACGGTCTTTCAGTCACTGGACATACAAACAATAAAACATTGTCAAATAGTGGGAGGGAATGAGCTGCAAAATTATAATGATGAGTGTGCATGTGTGCGTGTGTGCATGTGTGTGTGTGTACATGAGGTGTATGTTTGTTTGTAGTACACCAGTGCCACTGCGCACATGGAGGCCATAAGACAACTTTATGGAGTTGATTCTATTCTTTCACCTTTATATGGTCTCCGAGGAAAGAACTCAGGTCTCTAGCTGTGTGCAGTGTAAGTGTTACAGCTGGGAGGGGAAAGGTTTTCCTTGTGCAAGTGTTGCAGCTCTGAGAGGAAATACCCAATGCCTGTGTAACAGCTCTGAGGGGAGAGGTTTCCTCTATGTTAGCTGTTATAGCTCTAAAGAGAAAGATATCCCAGAAGTTCAGATCACTTTAAAACTTGCTTGTCATGTTCCTCTAAACCACCGATCAGGATGTCAATTGCTATTGCATATATAATGTAGACATTTTTATGATGTTGAGTCTTCTTCACCAGGAACACAGCATAGCTTGGTGTGTGTGTGTGTATGTGTGTGTGTGTGTGTGTGTTTGCCAACCCTTACCAGTTCATATGTTAAAATTCTAGCCTTCCTGGCAAAGAAAAAAGCAAAAAGAGCCTTTTGTGGGTGATTAAATTGAAAGAGCAAAATACTTGTGAATGGGTTAGTGCTCTTATAAAACAGACCCAAGGGTGCTCATTGTCATTTTCTACCAGGTAAGAAGGTACTGTTTATGAACAAGGACACAGGCTCACCAGACACTGGATATGCCCCCTCCCCCATCTTGGACTTCTCAAGTTCTACAATTGTGAAGAATGAACTCCTGCTGTTTATAAACTATACCGTGTATGTTACTTTGCCAGCACAATCCCAATGAACTAACATAAACACTAACAAAAGAAATTAGAAAACACCATTCGTTAGGCCAATCTTTTGAAAAAATTTATTATTATTGTTTTATTGAGACAGAGTCTCTCTCACTATACAATTGATATATATCTGGAACTTGTTTTATAGACCAGTATAGCTTTAAGCTCCAAGCAATGTTCTCTCTCTCTCTTTTAAAAAGATGTATATTTTTATTTTATGTATACCAGTGCTCTGTCTGCATGCATGCCTTTATGACAGAAGAGGCATCAGATCCCACTACAGATGGTTGTGAACCACTATGTGGTTGCTGGGAATTGAACTCAGGATCTCTGGGAGAACAGTCAGTGCTCTTAACCACTGAGCCATCTCTCTAGTCCCAAAGCAATGTTCTTGCTTCTGCCTTCTAAGTGCTTGGTTAAGGATTGTGCCATGGTGTCAGCCCATTGACCCAAATCTTGATGAGTGTTTACTAGTTTGAACAGTTCTACTGTAGCTATTATTGGTGTTGTTAGTAATTGTTTTCAGAATTACCTGTTCCTTTAGTCATCTTCCTGTCACCATGGTAAAATGTCTGAGATAATCAGCCTAAAACGTGGAAGGTTGGTTTTAGTTTACAACTTCAGGGGCCTCATTCTACGCTAAGTGGGTCCTGTTGACTTTCTTCTTATAGCAGAGATATATCACAGCAAGGAGTGCATGCTAAACCATTCAGACCTTAGTATTTTCTACTGTATATCAGCTACATGTTTTTTTTTTTTCCTTTTGGAGCTGAGGGACAAAACCAAGGCCTTGCACTCTACCTCTGAGCTAAATCCCCAACCCCTTTCAGCTACATGTAATGTGCATTTTTTATTCTGCTGAAGTAGGCACTGCTTGAGCTTAGCAACAACAACAACAACAACAACAACAACAAAAAACCCACACAACCCCTCCCCAAAACAAACAAACAAAGGAAAGAACCAGTTATGACTCCTAGGAGCATGCAGCCGGTGGAGGAGATAAGGTAAACACACAAATGTTTCAAATAAACAGAGGGAGTTTAAAAGTGAACAAGATGTACAAACCACCCTGGAGGTTCAGAGGGGAAACTGTAACAACTGGGCAGGGTGAGGCTAGGGACAACTGTGAGAGAATCCGAAAAACAAAGTATCCCATGCAAAATGCATCATTTGATTCTAGCATATATGCTGCCTCAGAGCACTGAGAATGTACTGTTTGAAGAAGAACCTTAAAGATTTAAGAAATCTGGGAGCGGTGGATCCCAGCACTTATTGTGCCTAAGGCTTGAGTTCAGCAGCTCTAGACCAGCTTTGGCAACGTAATGAAACCCAGGCAACAAATGCAAATGAACAAACCGGATGTGTTGAGACATGCCTATAATCCCAGTTCTTTGGAGGCAGGAGGATTTTGCTTTTGGGGCCAGTCTGACCTACATGGGTCAGTATTAAGAATATAGGAAGACCTTGTCTTAGAAAAATCCCTCAAATACTGGGGTTGGAGATGTAGCTCATTTGGTAGATTTAATCCACAGTACTGCATAAACCATTTGTGATGGCATGTGCCTGTAATTGCAGCATAGGAAGTGGAGGCAGGAGAATCAAGAGATCCAGGCCAGTCTGGGCTACATGAGACTTTTTCTAAAAAACAAACTAATCTGGTTGGAGAGATGGCTCAGCAAGCAGTTAAGAGAGGATGTTCATCCAGAAGACACGAGTTTGTTTCTCAGCACCTACACTGGGTAGCTCACAAACCACATTGTAATCCCAGCTCCAGGAGATGACATCCTTTTCTAGTCTCCACAAGCACCTGAGTGCACATGGAACACACACACACACACACACACACACACACACACACACACACACACTAATACACAAAAGTAAATCTGAAAACAAACAAACAAACAATGGAACAGTAAACAGGATACTGGGAGAATACTGTTACTGATGGAGGGAACAGCATATACAACACATGAAGGTGGGAAGTACTTCCGTGGCTCTGTTCAGGATGAATTGTAGATGCTAAAAGTAACAACAGTTGACTTGGGTGCTAATGTTGGTTTATGATGCTGCTATTCTCAGGGAGCAACTGAAGAAACTTGAGTGGTGATATGGGAACCACTATTCCTAAACTTTAGACAACCAAATGAAACCTCACTCTCCTCATCTACCTGAGTGCTGAGGGGATGGATGGCTGAGGGGGTGTCTCTCAAAAGTCAGGGCAGAAGGGTCCACTTAATTCTGTTCTGCAGAGCCCTCTGGAGTCAGCATTGAGGAGAGGGTGTTGAGATGGAGACGACAGACAAGAGACTTAGGTGGTTTGATGATAACATCAGGGGAGTTATGATTTCAGGGTGTCAAAGAGGAAGCCGGTAACAGAGACACAGCAAATTCCAAGCAGTGTGCCAGGAGAATGAACCATAGATGTAGGTTCTTAATACAGCCTAGGCCTAAAACTGGTACTGGTCAGCAAAGAAGAACGAACCTGAAACAACCAGAGGGAGGGTTGGTTAGTCAGCAGCTACCCAGCAGGCCTAAGAACTAACCAGAAAGAATTGGTGTACTTGGGTATTATAGTCAGTGATAAGAATGTTTGCTTAGCCGGGCGGCGGTGGTGCACGCCTTTAATCCAAGCACTCGGGAGGCAGAGGCAGGCAGATATCTGTGAGTTCGAGGCTGTGCTGGACGACAGCCTCCAAAACAATACAGAGAAACCCTGTCTCGTAAAAAAAAAAAGTGTTTGCTCAGCATGCACAAGCTGGGGCCAATCCCTAGTACCAAGCAAATGTGTGTGTGTGTGTGTGTGTGTGTGTGTGCGCGCGCGCGCGCTCGCGCGCGCTGTCAGAAGAGATTAACATCCCTTCCCTTCCCTGGTGATCTTAAGGTTTGCACCCCCCCAGGACTTTGATGTCATGAAGGGGGGGATCACTGAACAAGGTAGAGAATCAGCTTTGCTTGCTTGGTGGGGGTATACTGTGTGGCCAGTAACGCCTGTAGTCGGCCTCTTTCTACCTGGCACGGTTCTGGGGTCCACCTGAGTCCAAGGACACCTCCTCCATGGTTCTCTCTCGGCCAACAGGCCTCAGCGCGCTCCCGCTTCCTCAGGGCCTTCTACCGCAGGACCCGCACACTGCGGCGGGACCTCGGCTCCCTTTTCCCCTCCCCGGCGCACGGGAAGCGCTGGTGCCGGGGAAATTGGGCCTCAGAGGGCGGCGCACGCCATGCGGGTACCGCAGTTCCCCGCCTCGGCCTCGCGCCTGCCGCCCCCGCGGCACGGCCAGCAGCAGCCCCAGTGAGGAGGAAGAGGCGGAGGAGAAGGCACCGCCCCCTTGGCGAGCTCGGCGCCCCGGCGGCCTTGGCAGGACCCATGGCGGATCTCTCGCCCGCGCCGGCCCCGCGGGAAGGCGGCCCCCGTGCGTACCGGCCCTCGGCGCCCTCCCCGCCGCCGCGCTCTCGCTCCGGTTCGGAGCCCGACGAGGCCGAGCTGTCGCTGAGCCTGGCCCGCACCAAGACCCGCTCGTACGGCAGCACGGCCAGCGTGCGGGCGCCGCTGGGCGCCGGCGTCATCGAGCGCCATGTGGAGCACCGGGTCTGCGCCGGAGACACGCTGCAGGGCATCGCGCTCAAGTATGGAGTCACGGTGAGCAGAGCGCGCCTCCGCGGCCCCGGCCTGCGGCCTCCGGGCGGGGTTGGGGATGGGAGCGGAGGGTGGGGAGCAGGCCGTGCGTCTCTGCGCTGCATCCCGGGCGCGCGCTGCTGCAACTGCAATGGGTGTCTAAGCAACTGCTGCTGCTGCTGCTGCTGCTGCTGCGAATAGGGGTGGCCGCCAGGGCTTCCCGACCAGCTAGTGCGTGGCTTTCCCTGTGCCCTGTCAGTCTCAGATCGTGTCTATCGTGTGAGAAACACTAAGGAGGCCCGCGTTTTTGGCATCACCCACACAGCGACCTTTACCGGTTATGCTAACCGGAGCTCACTACGTATTTACTCAAAGCCAAACCCATGCGAATTCTGCGCTGTGTAAACAAGCTGTGATGAGTCAGGTTGTTCAGTTCTTCCCAGGGATGGTTCTGGTTCTATCGATTCTGCTTCTTTATTTAGAAGTGAAATGACACCCCTGGGCTCACTGGCAACCCTGAACGTGACACCTGTCGCTAAACAGCAGCCAGGAACTGTGGTCTAGGTGAGCTAGAGGGCTGTGTTTTACAAATTTATAAGGGTTTGCGTCTTGGGTATATTGCATTACACCTCAGGGAAGATCATGGAAACCTGAGGGAACAAATTGTTTCATTAAAATTACTTATAATTAACTGTGAGCCGTGTGATAGCCTTTTTACATTGGAACCCAGTATCTGTTTTCAGTGATCCTTCCTGAAGCTTCCTGGGCAGCAATCGGAAGAAAGATGATCTTGTCTGCATTAGAGTAACCTGTTTTGCATATTTAACCAGGTGTTTGTTTACCAGCAAGTCTTTCTATCATTTAAGCGTTCTGAGAGCACCATCACCCCATTTTGAGAGCCTTCTTGGCAGTGTTAATGTGAACATATATGTAAAGCTGCCTTCATGCACATTACTGGGGTCTGGTTTGGGTCAGAGCCAATGAAAAGCAGAACTGAGAAATCCCAGTGACTGCTCTTTGCTGAGTACCTACTGTGTGCCAGGCATCACATTTGTCCGTTTTCATTCTTAGGAAAAAGATTCATTTATTTCTATGTATATGAGTGTTTTGTCTGCATGTATATACGCACATCATCTGTGTGCCTGGTGCCCACGGAGGCCAGAAGAAAGTGTCAGATACCCTGGAAATGGAGTTACAGAGGGTAGTAAGCCATCGTGTGTGCGCTGGGAATTGAACCCTGATTCTCTGGAAGAGCAGGCAGTGCTCTTAGGGCCACCTCTCCAGCCTCTGTTTGTTTTCATATTGATCTTATCTAATTTGGCTTTCATAAGAAGCCTAGGGGAAGCTTGGCACTTGGGAGGCTGAGGCAGGTAGATCTCTGTGAGTTCGAGGCCAGCCTGGTCTACAAAGCAAGGCTACACAGAGAAACCCTGTCTCACAAAAAAAAAAAAAAAAAAAAAAAAAAAGCCTAGAGGAGACAGGTGTGGTTCATCATCTTACAGATGCAAAAATAGATAAGAGGTTGGTTATTTCCAAGTATAATCATCATCTAGACAGGCTTGAATTAACACAGGGATAACTTGTTTTCTTTGTTCTAGATATTACTTCTGATCTGCATTCTTAGCAAGGGCTCTTAGCATCTTGCTCACTGAAGAAGGAAGGTCACTTTGTCTGGTTTCTGTGCATCTTAGCTATTAGGCTAGTCTGTGTATACTTAGGAGTCCGTGATATCCAAATGAGTCATATTTCCTGTGGTCTCTCCCCATGACATTTTTTCTGTGACCTATGGTCTTCTAAATTGCTTGCATCTGCTAAACACCTGCCTAGTTCAAATGCCTTCCAACCTGTGATTTGTCTAATGTAGGTCCTGTTACTTTTTACCTTATTGCCCTTTCCCAGTAAAGAATAAAGCAGATTTTCGTTCACTTTGTAAAGACTTCTGATTTTATATTTTTTAAAATGTTATTTTATGTGCAGGGGTGTTTTGCCTGTGTGGATGTCTGTGTAGACCACTTGCATGCCTGGTGCCTGTGGAGGCCAGAAGAGGGCCTTGGATCCACCTGGGACTGGAGTCACAACCTGTTGTGAGCCACCACGAGGGTGAGGGGAATAAAAACCTGGTCCAGCGTAGGGCAGCTAGTGCTCTTAACCACTGTAGTGTCCTCCCAGCCCCAACTTTTGATTCTAATGTGTTAGAGTCAGGCATAATGAATTATATGGTTACAAGAAGTCTAAATGTGATTTCTCAACCTCAAAACTATTGTTAACATGTTTTTTATTTTTATTTATATATTTTTTCAAGTCAGGGTCTCATGTAGCCCAGGTTGGCCTCAAACTCCCTGTGTAGGTGGGGATAACCTTGAACTCCTGATCTTCCTGCTTTCACCTGCTAGAGTACCGGTCAATCTGATATGAGATATTTTCTCAATCGAAAGTCCCTAGTCCCAATGATTCTAGCATGTGTCAAGTTTACATAAAACTAACCAACATGGGTAGATTTTGTTTTGAGACAAGGTTTCTTTGTATAATCCTAGTCTGACCTTGCATTTGTAATCCTGCTTTAGGCTCTGAAGTGCTGATATGTGCCACCAGGCCTGGCTGGAAAGAATCATTCTGACTGCTGCTTTGATAATAGACTATCTGGACCAGGAGCAAGGAGAGACCAGATAGGATGAAGGCTTTTGCAGTGATGCAGATGAGCTAGAACAGTAACTTTGACCAAAGTAGTGAAGAAGGGAAGTTATGGTGAGAAGTGGCTAGGTTCTGGGTGACCTGTTGATAGGCTGTCAAGTGTGTCTAAACCGTAGTCCAGGGCCACACAAAAACCAGCTATGACTGTGACTCATGTAAAGTTATAAACTTAAAACATTATGGATTGCATGGTTCTTGAGTATGAACTGATACAGTGTCAGTCATAATGTCAAAAAGCCAGACATGTTTGCATGTTCTTTTCATTTTTAAAAAAGGTTTATTTATTTTAAGATTATGAGTGCTCTAACTGTATGTACAACTTCCCAGAAGAGGGCATCAGATCCCACTATAGATGGTTGTGAGCCACCATGTGGGTGCTGGGAATTGAACTCAGGACTTCTGGAAGAGGAACCAGTGCTCTTAACCCCAGAGCCATTTCTTCAGCCCCCTGTATGTTCTTCTTATTTGTTAATTGTTTCTCTTGAGTATATCTGACCTAGACATTTGCCTGGAGACCCAGGAGATCTCTCTGTAAGGAAGCAGAATTCTGTTTGAGAATTGAGCCAGGGTGATTGGGCCCAGTTCTTCCTCTAGTGAGTTATGACATTCCCACAGTCTCCTTTCTTCAGTGGGTCACTAATAGCTCATACTCGTTATGCTTCCTTTACTTGTGTTGAGCCTGGGTTATTTGAGGCCTGTGTTAGACACCGGGGCTACATGATCAAATGCTCTCTCTTTCCGGCACCTGATGGCCTTCGCATGCATATGGACTCAATTCACAGAAAGTTGGACTGGGATGAGATTGTCACCCTAGGAATTAACAGGCTCTGGAAGGTAGGATCCTGGGTTGGCACTGAGTAAGGACAACAGCCTGTTGAAGATATAAACTGCAAGAATTGATTAAAGTGGGTCTGGAGAGATGACCCAGTGGTTGAGAACACTTGTTGCTCTTGCAGAGGACCTGGGCTTGGTTGTCAGCACACAGATGATGACTCACAACCATCTCTATCTAGTTCTAGGGTAGGGGATCTGATACCTTCTTCTGACCTCCTTGGGCACAAGGCATGTATATGTATATGTATGTATATGTATGCAGGCAACATGCATAAAAGAAATAAAAATAAGATGGCATTTACTCCTTTGGGTTGGGAGAGAGGTATGACGTGCCTGTCAGGGTGTGAGTGGAGGTCAGAGTTCAGTTTACAGGAGACAGTTCGGTCTTGCTATCAGGTGTGTCCCAGACATCCCCTTCAGGTCATCTGACTTGGTGGCAAGTGCCTTTAGCTACTGAGCCATCTTGTAGGCCCTCCTTTTTTGTTTCTTTTGAGACAAGATTTCAGGTAGCCCAAGTGATCCTTGAAATCACTATAAAACCCACACTGGCTTTGAACCTCTGATCCTCCTGCCTGCATTTCAGTGCTTGGAGTCATAAGCATGTGTCACACCACAGGAAAAGCAAGTTCTGCCTCCCTGCCGCTGTTGCTGGTGTTGATTGACAGTCTTGACACTCAGTTACACACAGGTTGGGCATCAGTTCTGGGAAACTGAAACCATTTGGGTCTGGTTGAGAAAACCATTAGCTGCTGCTCAAACCTCTGACATAAACTTGCTTGGGCTGGAATGCCTCTTCCTACAGAGACGTTCAGGCTCCTTCCTTCGCTCTGGTTCTTGATTTAGCTTTGTTTCTTTTTCCAGCATCCTGGCACCTCCCTATTGTATCTAAGCCTCTGGGGGAAACTGGTCAGAGCTTCAGAGCTCTAAGTTATCACTTAGACTATTTCTATTTGGAAACATTGTAAAAACTAGAGGACACATAGAAACAACAAATCTGGATGGAGGCAACAGAGAAGATCTATGTGTATATCTCCTCCTTCTCTGGCAGAAATGCTTAAACTGATCTGCCTTTTTCTGCCACCTGAGTGCCGGGGTAATAGGCCACTCTGCCTGGCTTCAGTCAGATTTAATCCCAGGTCATTTTCTCATCCAGTTAGCTGCTAAACTGAGTTGCCTCTCAAGTCCCCACATAAAAGTTACTGTGCTGGGAGAAAGTGGTGTGATTTTCCTGTTTTGGCGGAAGAGCCCTGGGAATTAGTCTTATCTGTGTGGTAGAGGTTGTTGACTGTCACCTAGAGTTAAAGGGGTGCCAGGCTAACCTGTAATTTGGGGTGTTAATAGTTCTCATGTATTTTTTTCCTCAAACATTGCCAATGAGATATAATTACAGAACACAAAATTCACTCTGCCCTAAGTGTACAATTTGGTGATGTTTAATACATTTACAGTTGTGAATCTGTCACTGTTCAATTTCAGAAAGTCCCGTCACCCAGTAGATTGCTCCAGACCCATTCACCCACTCACTGTTCTTCAGTTCTAGGAGATGGATAATGTATCCTTTGACACATATTTACCTTTGGGGGCATTTCCTGTAAGTCTGTTTCATATACCCTTTGGAGAATGTGGAAGGACAAACTACCCCCCCTCCCATGAGCACATGGTTATGGCAAGGGTCTGGTTACCACCAACACCCAGAATGGAACATGTCACAGATATGGGGCACATCAGAGATAATCACTTAGTATTTCAGTCTGTTTTCGATAAAAATAATGACAAAATGACAGTTGTATATGTAAATGAGATTATTCTACAAGCCAAGCCCAGCAGTGCTATGGAGATAACTTTTGGGGCTAAGTCTTGTGAATTCTCTCCAGTGTAAATGCCCCTTTGCATGATGAATTAACGGAGAATCATTTTAATAATGGCCGCTTGTGTTCTGCTTTATTTTGCCCCAAGGGTTCTTGCTTGACTTCTCCAGTCTGGTTTCTTAGTGACCAGATGCTAGACTGGGTTCATTGGGTCATATTACACTCCCTTGGCTAGGAGAGGATGAAAATGTTCGATTGCTAAACCTCCCTGAGAAACAGAAACTCATTCTGTGTCACTTTGAAAGGTCACACTTTCTGTTCTCAGGATTGAATGGCTGTGAGGAGGAGCAGAGGCCCGGAAAAAGAGATGTCCAGCTCTTCCTTGGATGGATCGTGACGGTCTTACTTTCTTGTGAGGTGAAATTTCCAGACCTGTGTTCAGATGGAAATAGAAAGCATTCCTCACAAGATAACAACACCCTCTGTGGCCTGGATTATCCAGTTATGTCTGCTGCTGCTGTGCATGGCCCCTACAACTCCTGAGTCGTTGATTTTGTTTTCTGTTTGTAACTGAGTAGTCTTTAACTATAATTAGATCACATGTCTCCCTTCTTTCATCCTTCAGGAGCTACCTTTTTGTTTTGTTTTGTTGGCTTTTTAAGACAGGGTCTCATGTATCCCAGGCTAGCCTCACACTCAGCTGTGGATTTTGGAGCTGGTGTGGGCTTGACCTTCCAATCCTTTGGCCTCCAGCTCTCAAGTGCTGGGGTTACAGGTACACACTTCCTGAGATTACAGATATGCGTCACCATGCCTAGCATAAGCATTGCTGGAGACCGAACCTGGGACCTCAAGCATGCTAACAAAAACTCTACCAACTGAACTACACCCTTACCCTCTACCCCATTTTCACTTTTTTTTCTTGAGACAGAGTTTCACTGTGTGTTGTGGTTAGCCTCAACCTCACTGTGTATGTAGCCTAGAGCTAGCTAGCCTTGGAGTTGGAGGGTTCCTCCTTCCTTGACCTCCTAGCACTGAGATTATAGGTTTGTGTCACCATGCCTGTCCAAGGGCTTCTTAGCACATTCGAAATAAACTCCAGCGTCAACACTTGATCTTAGCTAAAAGGCAGGAAGCAATGAATCTGCTGTCTTTACCATGGCTGGGAGCTTATTGTTGTCCCCAGCTGTGCCACTATCTCTCTGTGGTATGACAGGTGCTCTTTGCATGACTGGCTTCACCCTTTGACATTAGGCAACGGTTTGGAGGCACTGTTGTTGGTGCAAACCATTGTTCATCAAGAGTACAGCCAACACCAATACTTTCTGAAGACCCTTTTCTTTGTATCTCTTTTTTTAGTATTAGTGATGTTAATGGCACAAAACAATGGCTGTCCTATGACATTTTCATGCTTTTGTACAGAGTACTTTGATCCTTCCCCTCTCCTGTCTCCTGTTCTCTCCTACTGGTTCTTTTTTTTCCCTCTTCTCTTCTCCAATCTGCTTTCCATGTGGGGTACTTGTCTTCCTGAGTCTGGCTTATTTCTCTTTACATGAGGACCTCCAAGTTCCATCCATTTTCCTGCAAACGACATGATTTGTTTTTTTTTCCTTGTGGTTGAATAAAACTCCATTGTGTATTAACACCACATTTCTTTTCCCTCCCTCCCTCCCTCCCTCCCTCCCTCCCTCCCTCCCTCCCTCCCTCCCTCCCTTCCTTCCTTCCTTTCTTTTTTGAGACAGGGTTTCTCTGTAGGTTTGGAGGCTGCCCTGGAACTCACTCCGTAAGAATTCACAGAGATCCACCTGCCTCTGCCTCCTGAGTGCTGGGATGTGCCACCACTGCTTGGCAAATACCACATTTCTTTATCCTATCCATTCATCTGTTGATGGTCACTTATACCCAGTACATACTTGCCTATTGTGAGTATTGCCACATGAAACATGTGTGTGCAGGAATTTCTGTTGTTTGGACTTGATTTCTTTGTGTGTGTACTTGGAATGTCACAACTGGGTCATGTGGTAGTTATATTTTTAAAACTTGTTAGTAATAACATTATGTTACCCAGTGGGTTTATTTACATGGAAAAATGTAATTTTTTAATAATAATGATTATTGTGTTGTGCATGGATGCACATGCCCTGACACCTATGTGGGGTCAGAGGACAGCATTGTGGAGTCAATTCACTACTGCCTTTTACAGGGGTTCCAGGGTTTTTATTCAGGTCACCAGGTTTCTACAGCAAGTGACTTTACCCACTGAGCTATCCAGCCCATCCCATATTGTCTTTATATATGCTAAATATGCATTTATCTATTCATTTTTTGAAACTTTATTTATTTTAATTATATATCTTTATGTCTATATATATATTTGACTTTTTGTATGTTTGTGCAAGCACCATGTACATTCAGAGTATTTTGGACCCCCTGGAACTAGAGTTAGCAGCCATGTCAGTGCCTAGGTCCTCAGGAAAAGCAGCCCATGCCCTTAACCACTGAGCCATCTCTTCAGTCCTGAATATGCATTTAGACTAAAAAAAAAAAAAAGATTCTGGGGGCTCTTCTAGAGGACCTGAATTCAAGTTTCATTACCTTCGTCAGGTGACTCACAACCACCTGTAACTAGAGCTGCAGGCGACCCAACACCTCTGGCTTCTTTGAGCACCAACACACACACACGCGCGCGCACACACACACACACACACACACACACGCACACACACACACACACACACACATACACACACATACACACACATACACACACACATACACACACATACACACACATACACACACACATACACACACACATACACACACACATACACACACACACACACATACACACACACATACACACACACACACACACTTTTAAAAAGTGAAGGAAGAAAGAAGAAAAATTTGTTTTTTGTGTGTACTTTTTTCTCTTGGCTGGCCTGGAACTCACAGAGATCCACCTGCCTCTGCCTCCCGAGTGCTGGGATCAAAGGCGTGCGCCACCCCCACCCAACGAAAGATTTGTTTTTAGTTAGCAGGCAACATAAAAAACGAAACAAAACAAAACATCAAGTCAAAATTTAAAAAAAGGGGTTTATTTCCACTCATGGAAATGAAAGATCTGAGGTTCTCTAGCTTCAGGCTGTGACCCACATGCCATCCTCCAAGGTGGCAGTGGCTTCAGTGTCAGGTTCCACCTGGTGGCAGGATGACAGGCGGTGGCTCCGGCCCTTCTCCCCCTGCAGGAAAGGGAATATCGCCCCCAGCAGACTCAGCAAGTGCTGACTTCTAGGTGGGCGTGTCGTGTCGCGAAGCTGGCCCCCAACAGACTCAGCAAGTGCTGACTTCTAGGTGGACGTGTCGTGTCTCGAAGCTGGGGCGCTGTGATACTGCAGGGGTGGGGCTGAGTCACTTGCTCCCCATGTTCTGGAAGCTTGTATGCCAAGGGAGATGGGAGGAGCTGGACCTTGGGGACCCACAAGTGTGTGGACTGGAATATACTTCAGTCTCCATGGCCAAAGGTTTCAAGATATTTAATTCTCTCAAATCTGACCCTGTCTGTGTTAACCAGAGGTACTTGGGATATTTAGATTTTAATTTTCTCTCTAAAATGATCCTACCCTGCATGATCTCTCTTTTTCATCATTGCTACCTCCCAAAAACCCAGACCACCACTCCTCCTCCTCCTCCTCTTCCTCCTCCTCCTCCTCCTTTTCCTCCTTTCAAAGAAAAGGAGAAGGTGGGGCTTGGTGTTGCGCACTTTAAATCCCAGCCCTCAGGAAGTAAGGATAAGGGGATCTCTGTGAGTTCAGCACCAGCCTAATCTACATAGTGAGTCCTGGATCAATAATTTCCAAGGTTATGTAGTGGGAACCAGTCACATATCTAGTCTCACATATAGATGCTGCTGCTGCTGCTGCTGATGATAACAGCTTCCTGCAGTGGTGCTGTTTTCATGGCTTCTCGTAAGAAAGCAGGAAAGGCTGTTGAAGTGGCGCATGCTTACCCCTAGCACTCGAGAGACTGAGGCAGGAGGACTGCAGTCAGTTCAAGGAGAGCTGGGGCTATACAGCAAAAGCAAAACAAAATAAAAACAAACAAACAAAAACAGGTGGGAGGAATGGGGTCCGCTTATTTGATTGCTTTTTCTTTAGACTCTTGAAAGTAGAAATTCGATATTTTTTTTACTCAAAATCAGTTTAAAGGCTTCCAAAATTTGATTTCCTCAATTTGAGTCAGACAGAAATCCCTGATCAGACGTCTATGTCGCTGTATGTGCTTGTCAAACCAATTATCTCATTGTGTGTGAATTTCTTCATGTGTGCATGGATAGTTTGAATAGAGGGTAGACAGCTGGATAGGTACATGTGCATGCGTACATAAGTACATGTATAGATGTTAATAAAGTACCTAGCAGTGGGTGACAATATTTTTCATTATCTCTATCTCTCTACACACACACACACACACACACACACACACGCGCGCGCGCGCGCACACTTGCGTGTGTTATCTATAAACATATATGTGTGTATGTATATATGTGTGTGTGTATATTAATATAAATCCATTTAACCCTTGCAGCCCCATTGTCATAAACGGTGCCTGTTTTACAGGTGTGTGAGATAAGTCACACATGCAGTTCCAGTTGGCAGGGAAGGATTTGAACCAAGGCAGTCAGGCTGTTCCATGATCTCACCACACTTTTTGTCTTTCCCCTGAAAGAGTTGTGTGTATGTGAACTGCTACAGTGTCTGTGAGGTGCCTGTCCTGGTGCAAGTTCCCCGTCTGGCGTGGGGAAATACAGACACACCACAAGAGGAGGCAGCAAGAGATGCTCTCAGCAAGGCTGAGAGCCAATTAGTGTCCGCCCTTTCTGTGCTCACCAGTGCTGTGAACTTAGGCCACTAACTTTTTCCATCCCCTCATTTGTAAAGAGCGCTAGATTGCAGTGCTGTTGTGAGGGTCTAGTCTCCATCTCGCCCCTTTCCCACCTCTGTGGGTTGGGGAAGGCTTCCATAGACTGTGAGAGTCAGGGGTCACCTGCCATTCATATATACATAAGTTCGGCGAACCCTGTCTTCTTATTGGTAAAGTGGATATTTGCACCCGTAGGGTAAAAGAATGACACACTATTTGTAAAATACCTCCGATCATTTTTTTTTACCTTGGGACTCAGGTATTCCCTAAGGCCCATTTGAAGTCAAAAGTTTAAAAACCAGAACCCACCTTCTTTTGAGAGGCCCTTCTCCATGGTGTATCCCCAGCCTACAACATTTTTTGACATTCTGCTCAGACACATGTCTCTACTACCTCCTGGGTCTATTAATTCACCAAGGGGAATTCCAGAGATAAAAGGATCCCTCTACAAGTAAGACTGTATCAATATAAAGACTTTTTAAAAATTCAAATGACAGAAATGTTCAAATAAGCATTAAATTAGTGCTAAAGGGGCTGGAGAGATGGCTCAGCAGTTAAGAGCACTGGCTGTTCTTTCAGAGGACCTGGGTTTGATTCCCAGCACCCATATGGTGGCTCACAACCCTTTGTAGCGGTAGTTTCACAAGATCTCATGCCCTCTTGTGGCCCCCAGTGGAACTGCATGCATGTGGTACACATGCATATATATACACAGGCAAAACACCCATGCACACGAAATAAAAATAATAAAAATGTATTTGAAATAAAACAAATAAATGATAAAAATTCTACATCTTCATACTTAGGTGATTAAGGGCTACTGATAGTTAAAAGCTGCCTAAAAAGGTCAGGGAATGTAGCTTGTTTGGTAGAGTGTTGCCTAGCATTCATGAAGCCCCAGATTTGATCCCCAGCAATATAAACCAGATATGGTGTCACATAAAGTTAGCATGAAGGAGGTGGGGACAGAATCAGACGTTCAGAGTCATGCTCAGCTACATAGTGATTTTAAGGCCAGCCCGGGTGACATAAGATTCCATGTCAAACAACCCCCCAAAAACCCAACCAAAGAAAGAAACAAACAAAAACAAAGCTCCCAACAAAACAAACAAATAAATCTGCTTGTATAGGAGGAAATGACTTTCGTGTTGTTTTTGAAATAACAGAAGTTTTCTGCAGAGGGAAAGACCCTTGAATTCAGGGACAGCTTTTGCCTTAGAGTTTTTATTGCTGTGGTAAGCACCACAATCAAAAGCAACTAGTTGGGGCAGGGTGTATTCAGTTTTCTCTCCATCATCAGAAGAAGTCAGGCCAGGAACTTAAGTCAGGAACCTGGAGGCAGGAACTGATCCAGTCCTCATGGAGGAGTGCTGCTGACTGGCTTGCTCCTCATAGTTTCCTCAGCTTGCTTTCTTCCGTCATCCAGAACCACCTGCCCAGGGGTGGCACTACCCCTGTGGTACCTTACCCTGTAGGCACTGCTGCCCACATCAGTCACTAGTAAGAAAATGCACTCCAGACTGTCTACAGGAACATCCTATGGAAGCATGTTCTCAACTGGGAGTTCATCTTCCCAAATGACTCTCGCTCGTGTCAAGTATCCATAAAACTAGCCAGCACAGCAGCGCACACGATTGTTCATGAATGAGTATAGTCCCATGTTTCTAATAATTTCAGCTGTGGAACGTCATTGTATGTAACTCTTTCTTTTTTGTGTGTGTTTTAGATGGAACAGATTAAGCGGGCCAACAAACTGTTTACCAATGACTGTATATTTCTGAAGAAAACCTTGAGCATCCCAATTCTATCAGAGAAGCCTTTTACTTTTAATGGACTTAACTCCGTCGATTCTCCAGAAAAGGAAACTGTTGACAGCAGTTTTTGTCATGAAGAGGAGACTGTGGTGGCTGGGGAAGAGCTGCCTTCTCCCAGTCCTCAGGACCCAGGCCCCGAACCTGCCCAGCCTGAGGAAGTGTCTGCTAGAGATTTCCTGCAGAGACTTGACTTACAAATTAAGCTATCAACACAGGCAGCCAGGAAACTCAAAGAAGAGAACAGGTGAAGGTTCCTGGGAAAGGTGCCGGAGTCTGGACCAATACTCATAGGATGTTCTTGTTTTAAGATCTGTCTTCACTGGAGAGAGAGAGAGAGAGAGAGAGAGAGAGAGAGAGAGAGAGAGAGAGAGAGAGAGAGAGAGAGAGAGACAGAGACAGAGAGAGAGACAGAGAGAGACAGAGACAGAGAGACGGAGGGAGGGAGGGAGGGAGGGAGGGACGGACGGACAGACAGACAGACAGAGAGACAGACAGAGAGAGAACAGGTGCACATGTGTGCAGGTATGTGTATGCACAGGAGTGTGGTGGTCAGAGGTCAACTTTGATGTCATTTTTTTGGTTTTGTTTTTATCAAGACAGGGTTTCTTTGGCTGTCCTGGCACTCACACTCTGTAGACCAGACTGGCCTTGAACTCACAGAGATCTGCCTGCCTCTGCCTTCCTGAGTGCTGGGATTAAAGTTGCGTACCACCACTGCCCAGCTGGATGTCATTCTTCAGGATCCTTCTACCTTGTATTTTTGAGACCGAATCTTTTGGAGCTGGCTAAGTAGGCTAGGTTTGGCTGTATGGGGAACCTCCCTGGCCCTGGCCTGGCCAGCACTGGGATTGCTATGAATTTGCTACCATGCCTGGTATTTTCTGTGTGTTCTGGGGATTGAACTTGGGTCCTGCTGTTTGTGCAGGTGTTTTCTGTGTGTTCTGGGGCTTGAACTTGGGTCCTGCTGCTTGTGCAGCAAGCATTTTATCGACTGCCGTCTCTCTCCTTGACCCTTGAAAGGCATCTTTAGTGGGTGAAGTCTGTCTCTGTCTGCTGTTCTGCCTCTGTCATTGTTATTTAGCATAGAAAGTTTCCTTTTTTGCCCAGTGTCACTGTCCAGCTAGGAGTGTGAGGTAGCAACTGGAAGTAGAACAGCTTAAGGGAAGCAGTGCCCTGGAGAAGACACGCAATACTGATTCTTTTTTTTTTTTTTTTTTTGGTTTTTATGAGACAGGGTTTCTCTGTATTGTTTTGAAGGCTGTCAGTCCAGCCCGGCCTCGAACTCACAGAGATCCGCCTGCCTCTGCCTCCCGAGTGCTGGGATTAAAGGCGTGGGCCACCACCACCCGGCCGCAATACCGATTCTTATACCGCTTGTCAAGACACTGCTGCTCTTTACCAGGGTCCGCTAAGATTCCTTGTGAGCCAAACATTTCTGTGTGTAGTTGGTGTCCTTCTTCCTGTATGAAGGGCACTAGCTACTTTTCCTTTTTTTCTTGTTTGCTATTTTTTTTTGTAAGCTAAATTGATGCCAAGGTTCAGCCACTATTTTTTAATGATATATTGATTTCTTTGTCCTCATTTTAAGATTTCTGTTTTATAATATATGCCACTTGCCTTATAGATCTCAAATCCTTTTCAGCTCTTATTTGTTCATTTAGTTTGAATAAATACAATGTCTCAGTGGAGTTCAGTTGGCCCCAGAGTCTTGGCAATCCTCTGCTGCAGCCTTCCAACTGGCATGAGCCACTGCCCCTGGCTTTTAAATTCTTTTGAGAAAGAAGAGAAATATAGATAACAAATAGAATATCTGTAATATGTTCATATTATGTAAGTAAATGCTACTGTTTATTTTAATAACTTAGTGTCCCTTAGAAAGAGGCAGGAAGGTTCACCTGAACAAGTATGACAGTCGCCTAGCTTCCAAGGCACATGTAATGTTTTTCGGTCTATTTCTGCTCTTCTTTGGCAAATGAAAGGTAAGTCATATGTCTGTGTTTCTGAATACAGTCATAAACCCTGATTTCTACTGTGTTTCTCTTTTTCAGGGATGAAGAAAGCCCCTATGCTGCTTCCCTTTATCATAGTTAGTGACTGCTGGACGTCTTTTTAACTCAGATCAAAAAATGGCTGGACCCTCAAGAATTCCCAGGCTGGGGTTCAGAAGCAATGCCACGTCTGGACTCCCGTAGTGCACATCTTCGAGCCACAGTTAAGCAGACCAACTGCAGCTGCACTGAAGTGATCACTTCCTCTGGCTTCCCGTAGTTAAGTCTTACCATGGCATGATAGCAAACCTGTACTCCAAAGCCTGTCACTTTTGTAGATGGTGGTAGTTTTAGACTGGCTTTTGTAGCTACAAAAAGCATCAGAGACTTTATATATTTAAGCCAAAAGCAATGCTTATTTCCTGGTGAGATACTAAATGTATGAAAAACATGGTGGCTGTAAAGTGATAATGCGTTTGCTGTGTGTTTATAACTCAAGTGCTATAATATATATTTCAATATCACATATTCTGTACTACTGTAAAGAACCAGATTTTGTCTGTTATTTTGTAAAAGTAAAATACAAATGTCTGGGTGAGAAAATAAACTATGTTTTCACATAGGAGCCTTCATTTCTTTTCTTTTTTTTTAAATGGGGAAATTAAGTTGATTTTGTTTTGTTTGCCTTTTGTTCTAGAGATAGGTTTTTGTTGCTATTGTTGTTCATAAGATAGGGATTCATGTAGTCCAGACTGACCTTGGGCTCATTATGTGTATGAGAATGACCTTGGGCTCATTATGTGCATGAGAATGACCTTGGGCTGATTATGTGTATGAGAATGACCTTGGGCTCATTATGTGTATGAGAATGACCTTGAGCTCCTGATCCCTTTGTCTCTACCTTCCACATGCTGGGACAAGCACAGCAGTATGAGACACGCCAGCTCTGTTTAGATCTTATCTCTGCCACTTCAGACACGTTACACTTTACGGTGTATCACCCCTGCCCATTTGAATGGAACGTTACACTTTACGGTGTATCACCCCTGCCCATTTGAATGGAACATTAGGTTCTTGTTTCATTTAATCCATCTTTCCTTTATGACGTGTGGGTTACAGCAGCGACTCTAAGCTATGTACCATTGACAACTGATAGATTTTTAGTCTCTACATCTACTCAGTTACTGGCTTAACTACGGCTAACGAGGTTAAATGAGTCTCTAGGCTTCCGAAGAAATTTCCCATAGTCACCCCTCCCCAACATCCCCGGAAGAGCCTGATGGAGTGGAGTGAAGGTTTCCCTGTTTCCCTGCTTTCGTTGCCCCCTTCTTCTTGATCATGCTTTCCCTCCGTTTTGCCCTTCTGTCTTTTGCTCGTTGTGAGCAGATGTCTGGGTAGTAGTGCAATAGACCCAGCGGTACCGGGTCATTGTCACTGTTACTTTTCAGTTGCTGTGCTAGGGCACCACGGCCAAGACGACTTCTAGAGAAAAGAGCCTTTGGGGCTTACAGTTTGAGATGGTGAGTCCATGGCCATTATGGTGGGGAACATGGCAGACAGGCAAGCATGGTGCTGAGTCAGTGCTGAGAGCTTACATGTTGATCCTCAATCAGGAGGCAGAGAGAACTAACTGGGAATAGCCTTGGCTTCTGAAACCTCAGAGCCTCCCCTAGTGACACAGCTACTTCATCAATCAAGGCCACACCTCCCTAGTCCTCCCAAAACAGTTCCACCAACCGGTGAGCACATACTCAGATATATGAGCCTCTGGGGACCATTCTCATTCAAACCACCACAATCACAGACCCAGCTTTGGGAGGGTCAGTAGGTGCCATTGATGGGGAATGGAAGCAGTTTTTTCTTGCTGATTTGTTTGCTTCTCACTTAACATAATTCCTTGTATCTTGTTCTTTGTTTCTCATAGCATCCTTGAAATAGGATGTGCTCCCCCCGGCCCCCCCCCCCCCGTGTGTGTGTGTGTGTGTGTGTGTGTGTGTGTGTGTGTGTGTATGTGTGTGTGTGATATGTCTTACTCTATCTTCATTTTCTCTATTGACTTGGGCTCTCTCCCTAAATCTGGAACTCAACCAGTTCCAGCTAGTCTAGCTCTCCGGTTTGCCCCAGGTATCACCGTCTCTGCCTCCTGAGTGCTGGCCTTACAGGCAGACAACATGCCTGTTTGGCTTTTTTGTGGGCTTTGGGCATCTGAACTCTTCTTGGTCCTCATACTTGCTTAGCAAGAGATCTATCCACTGAGCCACCCATCCAGCCCCCATGCCCTTTACATGTGTGCAAGAGATCTGAACTCGGTTCCCATGCTTGCACATGAGGCCGTCTCCCAGCTCAGAACTGGGGTGTTCTCTTGAGAGTGCTTTGTTGTTTTGTGTGTGTTGTTGTTACTTAAGCTGTGGAGGTTTAATTGGAAAGGGAGATAACAGAAGAGACCCAAGCAAGCTACTGTGGATGTAGTAATAATAATAAAAAATATAGTTATATTCAGCAGAAAAGTATTTAATTTGGCAAAGACTGATCATGTTACAGAAAGCTAAAGTTTGAAATTATGACCATAAGCTCAAGTATATATTTCTCAAGTATTTCTCAAGTGCTTTCTTTTTCTTTTTTCTTTTCTGCCAGCAATTTCTATCTAAAACATCTCCTCAAGCTTTTAAGTAATTTTGTAGCAACAGTTTAACTGTACTGGACTACAGGAATTTTTTTTTGTTCGTTTGTTTTGACAGGATCGTGCTGTCTGTCTCAGGCTGACTTAGAATTTGCTATGTAGCCCTGCTTGGCCTCAAGTGCGCAGCTTCCTGAGGTATGCCACACAAGGCCAGACTGCCTCGAATTGGAAGTTGCTAGCAATCCCAAGCAGCCTTCAATTCCCAGTCCTGCCTCATTCTCTCAGAGTGGGATTGCAGGCTTTTGTCACCATGGCTGGCCGTTTCCATTTTTTTCTTCTGTTGATAGGGTCTTGCTTGAGCTCTGTTTTGCCTCAAACTTGAGTTCCTCCTGCTTCTGCCTCATGGATAGAGTGCTGAAGCACCAGGGCATAGAATGCTGCAGACAGGACCCAGATCTTCAAACTTGCTTCTGCCCAGTGTCACTACTGTTGACACCATGAACTTAAGCTTACCCAGTGTCCCTGATCCCTTAGTGAAAGAATGTTCTTGCTTATAAAATAGGATCACGTATGCCCCTTCTGTCTTGGTTGCCAAGAGGCACTAATGTAAAAGAAATTTCTACTACAGTAAAATAAATTTCTACTACAGTAAAAGAAATTTCTACTACAGTAAAAGAAATTTCTTACTGAAAGAATCCCACATAGATACTTAGTGAGAGGATAAGAGATTCAGCCTGAACCCATTTCCTGTCTGAGGCAGCTTCAGGTGTCTGACCTGGCTGGAGCAGGGTCAGTTAACACAGCTGATTCATTAAACAGTTTGAGTCATTGTGCTTTGGTAAATGCAGTTTGGGCAAAGGCGTTTTGAACTCTGTCTCCACACTCACCAGTAGCTGGGTACTGGCTTCTCTAGAACACAAGGAGAGATTGGTTTGTGTTCCTGGCAGGCTTTGTGTGTTGTTTGCCTCCCTTGCTCTCCAGGAAGAACTTTCTTCTACTATGAAAACCCAGTGTTACCTTGGGTGTGGGTGTGGCTTCAGAACAGCTGCATAGGCACCAGCAGGTCACCAGAAGCAAGGACAGCTAATTCACAAACTTGCTATATTTGTGGATCCAGGCAAGCATATATACCATGTTTATGCAATTATTTTACTCTGACTAATGTATTCCAATGCCACCTTTGATTTGGGAGCCCCAGCATCTTAAGGGGACCACTGGGCTGTGTAGTTGCTTTCAGTCTTGTGTTTGTGGTGGTCGCAAACAAGTTGCAGGAACCTAAAGTTCATACCCTTTTCCTCCAGGTGATTTTTACCTCTGTTTCTGCCATGCTGCCTGGTTCTTTGTCCTCTGGCAAGATAACATGGCTTGCATCAAATACAGTTTAGATGCCCAGAATGGAGCATGAGTGTTGACTTTGTTTTTGAACAGTGTGTGACCTCCTTTGGCTTCTTGATTATAAATATTCATCTCTATTGAGAGAGCAATACGTTTCTCTTTCTTTCTTTTCTTTTTTCCTTTCTTTCTTTTCTCCTTTCTTTCTTTTTCTTTTTTTTTTTGGCTTTTCAAGACAGGGTTTCCCTGTATTGTTTTGGAGGCTGTCCTGGAAGTCGCTCTGTAGACCAGGCTGGCCTCAAACTCACAGAGATCCACCTGCCTCTGCCTTCGGAGTGCTGGGATTAAAGGCGTGCACCACCAATGCCCACCTGAGCAATAAGTTTCTGAAAACTCAAAAAAGTAAGAAAAAGGGACATAAAAGTAGAGAGTAAATTGTTGATAAATTCAGCTCTCTTTCTCTCTGTGTGTGTGTATTTATGTAAGTCATTTATGTGTTCATGTATGTGATTGTGTACATGTATGTGTTCATATAGGTGTGCATTTATGTGTCACTGAGGATTAAATCCAGGTCTAGGATTAAATCCAGGCCTTTATGTAAGCATTCTGCCACTCCTGGTCTATACTCCCACTGCTATTCTCCCAGGATATACCCCACTGCTATACTCTCAGGATATACCCACTGCTATCTCCCAGGCTATGTTCCCAGGCTATACTCTCAGGCTGTGTTCCCAGGCTATACTCAGTAACTCTTGTACCCATTTTCAACCTCCTTTTGTGTCATTGGGTCTAACAGAGAGTTGATTAAAAAGGGCAGCTGAAGTTTTTGTTGTTTGTGTATGGGGAACACAGAAGGGGCTGGGAGGGGCTAGAGCAGTCATTCTCAGTCTATGGATGTTGACCTTTTTGGGGGTCAAATGACCCTTTCATAGGGCTCACCAAAGACCAGTAGAAAACAGATAGTTACATTATTAATTATAACAGTAGTGAAATTGCAGTTATGAAATAGTATGGAAAATGATTTATGGTTGGGGATCACCACAACATGAGGAACTGTATTAAAGGGTCGAAGTATTAGGGAGACTGAGAACCACTGGGCTGGAGGGAGGAAAGGGAGGGATGAAAAATGATATGATTGTATCTCAGTTAAAACCTTTTTAAAAAAGAAGCTGCTGTTTCTCAGAGCGTCAAGGCTGTGAAGAAATGTGGGTTTATTTCACTGCCCAACAGAGAGCTGCTAGTGGGAACATCATGTAGCAAACAATCGAGGCACTAGGTACCCAGCATGCCTTCAAACAGGGCTTCTCAGATCTTCAGGAAGCTTAAGACAGTGGAGGAAGGTTCAAATTTATGTTCAACCCGTTAGAGGCTTTTCCAGAGCAGCACATCTCTGATGATAAAGTGTAATCCAAGAGGAAATACAGATTCTATATACAAAAACCTCAGCTGACATACACTTTACTTTTCATAACGTATTTATGGCAAGAGAGCTCTATTTTACCCATTTCTAAGGGGTTAACTACTATAAATTCAGCACATTCTAATACTCCTGGGCCGGTAAATCTTTAACTGCCGAATTAGTTTTTAAGCTATGCTGTTTTTGCTGGAACAGTTGAGCGGCTCAGGCTGCCTGCAGTTTTCACAGGCTGCTGTAGATGCGCTTGATAGCCTTGGCTTCTTCCTTGTCGAGGATGCCTTTCTCCACATATGCATCAGCTTGCTGGTTGATAAAGTCCCTCATCTTTGAAAGGTCATAATCTAGAAGACATTATTAGAGTACTGTGAGCGAAGATCAGCAAGAAAGAAAACCCATCACAGTGTTTATCATCAAGAGACATTTTGTGTACTAAGTGAATTTCTAGCCTTGACTGTTACAATGGAAGACATGAGGTTCTGGATTTGGGCCATCCTGTGCTGCTTAAAGTGTTTTTGGATACCATATTATTTCTTTTCTACCACCCACGGGAATATACTAGTCTACTTGACCAACAAGAAAAATGGTTTCTAGACCAGGGCTTTGCACTTTTTAATGTGTGTGCAGTGCCCGGGGCTCTTGGGGTGTCGCAGATTCACACTCAGGTCTGGGGTGATGACCCAGGCTTTGTATTTTAAACAACTCCCAGAAGGTGCTGCTGATGAATCAGGAATGGCCCCAAACCTCCTTCTTTCACATGTGTAGCAAAATTATGCTTAAAAGCTCTTCCAACCTCTTGAGCTTATGATCCCAGCTTGTACCCTTATTGGTATGTTAACACATAGATGTTCTGTTTGCTTTTTTGTTTTGCCTTGTTTTTCCAAGTTAAGGATTTTTGTGATTATGTTATGGCTGCTTGAATTGTGTACATGGAGCGAAATGTCAATGTTTCCCATGTCTATCCTTAAAAATCTAGGCAAACCATCAAACCATGCACCTAAAATAAAGAGGACCCCAAGGAACACCATGTCATCTTTCTAGAGATCCCTACACCCTTCCCACAGCTCCTTGGTCTTCAAGTACTAATTTTTGTTTCTTTGTTTGAAACAGGGTTTTACTCTATAGTTCATACTGGTTTAGACCAGAAATTTGAACTTGAAGTAATTCTCTTGCCTTTTGAATCTTAAATTACATGCATGTGAGTGACACTATGCCCAGTTTGCAATTTTTTTCAAGACAGGGGGGTTTCTCTGTATTGCTTTGGAGTCTGTCCTTGAACTCACACTGTTAGACCAGGCTGGCCTCGAACTCACAGAGATCCACCTGTTTCTGCCTCCCGAGGGCTGGGATTAAAGGTGTGCACCACCAATGCGGGGCTGCAATTTACTTTTTAAAAAGCATATCCTTTCTTTTTTTTTTTAAAGGGTTTTATATATCTCTGCATCTGGAAGGTAGAGGCAGGAGGATCATAAGTTCAAGGTCATCTTCTATCTAGCTAGTTCAAGGCCAGCCTTGGCTACCTGAGACCCTATTTTGAAAAACAAAATCCAAGAGGCTTGTGGTTTGGACAACAAATGTCCACTGGAAGCTCATGCTCAACACTTGGTTCCCAGTTGGTGGTGCTTAGATTATCCAGCTCTTAGGAGATGTTGCCTTGCTCTGAGGGAGTATGTCACACAGCAGGCAGGCTTTGGGTGTTTATAGCCTTGTCCTATGTGTGGCTCTTATTCATTCTCTGCTGTCTGTGAACTGATAAAATGTGATTAGCCAGTTTCCTGCTTTGGCTGTCTGCAGCCATGCATCTCTTGCCACGTGGACTCTTTCTCTGATGCTGTAAGCTCAAATCAACCCCTTCTTCTCTTAGCTGCATTTGCTCACGGTATTTTGACACAGCAACAGAAAGTAAACAGTACAAAGTTATATAAGATTTTGTCATCATCCTCATAACCCCTCCACATAGATTTTTCCTTTCTTGCATTTTACAATGAGATTCAGGTCATCCGGGCTCCCGACAGACGGGGAAACAGCAGGGAGACTGTAGGTCAGAACTCATAGTAAGTTGTTCTGTCTACACAGCTTCAGTCATGGCATGACCCTAACACCCAGACCTACCTAGGCATTGAGAGTCATCCCATGCACGACAAGTAGAACTCATTAGCAAGTGGCGTCCTTACTTCTTGGCAGCAAAAGAAAGCAGGAGAGACAACACCCTCTCTGTGAAGTTTTCTCACAGTCCCTTCCCTCTTCAAACCCAGAGTTTGAAGCTACCCTGGGGCAGGGTGGAGTCCGCTCTGGAATGGGGTGGGGGTCCACTCTGGAATGGGGCGGGGGTCCACTCTGGAATGGGGTGGGGTGGGAACAACACAGTGCTGGCTATGGCCAGAAGTCAGATGCGAACGTGAATCAGAAGTACGGTAAACACTCCCGATTGGCGTGTCTGCAATTGCACCTGCTTTCCAGTGCAGTTTGGTACATGATGGGTTACTTTGATACTAAGAGGAACATTTTACTTTTTGAGTTTCTGAAGTCCTTGATGGCTTTGGTGATCAGAAAATGATGCATTTTAAAACAACGACGGAGTGGATGAGATACTGTTTGTGTAAATTGCTTGGTATGTGTCCATACGTATATGCATATTTGTAAACACCTGTGTGAGTGTGCGTATGTGTATGCATGTGGGGGCCTGAGGTTGATGTTAGCTGGCCTCTTACTTTCTGTCTGCCTTTCTTTCAAATGGGCACTGCCTTTGGCCCACTCCTTTATTTGTTTATTTACGTATTTATCCATTTTGTGGTACCAGTGACTAAATCCAGGGCCTTCTATGTGCCAGAAGCTAGCACTAAGCTATATCCCCAGCTATTTTGTTGCTGTTGTTTGTTTTGAGATAGGGTCACACAGGATTGGTAGCCAGGACTGGTCTTAAACTCGCTATGTAGCCTAACCTTCCCTTGAACTCATGGTGATCCCCCTGCCTCAGATTATAAAGTGCTGGGATGACAGGTTGTGAGCTCCCATACTAGACGCAGTGCATGACCTGACTGCATCGAGGGGCCACAGGGAGTGACGGATCTGTACTAGGTTTGTGTTTGTTCCGTCTGTGATGTTGCACAATGGCAAAGTCCCCTAATAGCACACTTCTCATATTCTGAGTGGCACACAGATACTTGGGAGATCTGTGGTCTCGATGATTCCAAAGTTGAGAGGCATTGCTCTGCAGCTGCACTGGCCGCACCTGGGATCACTCTGGACTGCACACTCTCCTCACAGCCCACGAGTTTCTCTTCCCTCTTCATTTCCTCTGCTTGCCTATGTTTCTGCCTCATCTTTCCATGCCTCGAGTTTCTGCTCCAGGTCTTGGCCTCTTCTTGCTCTCCAGGGACTTATTTTCAATCTGTAACCACACGACTGCTGGATGCTTTTCTCTTAAAAACAAATTAGCTTCTAATTTAGGTTCCTGTGGCTAGAACTGTCCTGCACTGTGGAACGTATAAGCCCTGGCTTCCTACACCTGACTGCTTCCCCTCTCCACAGACACGCAGGTTCCTGGGGGAAATACAGCTGCAGTTACTGGAACACAATAGTCTCCTTGCCCACTTATTAATTGTACTTATCACTTCTCCCTCTTCAGGAGAGTCTTCCTCTCTGTAGCCCTTCCCCCAACTATCTGTGTTGCCAAGATGACCCACCCTATTCTCTTGGCTCCCCAGTGCTCCTGTGCCTGAGAAGGACAATATTGAGTAGGTCCAACCAGGACTCGATAATAGAGTAAGCTGCCTCTGTGTGTGTGTGTGTGTGTGTGTGTGTGTGTGTGTGTGTGTGTGTGTGTGTAGTTGCTGCATCTTCTTGTCATATGCATCTCTGGAACTCTGAACAGAGTCTAGTTCTTATGTTTGCTTTACATAAGTGGGGACTGCCATTATGACCGCAGAATATACCCGGTATGTGCTCAGAAAATACCCATTTAAAATACTCTAAGAGCCAGGGGAAGTGTTTCACAACTGTCATTCCAGCACTGAGGAGGCTGAGGCAGGAGGATTGCTGTGATTTTGGTAACATCCTGGTGTATAGAGTGAGACCCTATCTCAAAACAACCAAATGAAAACAAATAACACTGATAATAATAAATCTTGAAGAAAGCTTGGGTAGGTAAGACAGGATAGGCAAAATGTCAAAATCTGATCCCTAGTCAAGATGGGTGCTGGAAACATGGGGATATTATATTAACTTTGTCTTTACTTGACATTTTTCATAATAAAATAAAATAAAATGCTTTGAAAAACTGATTTAAAAAAGAAGTGAGGTTTCATATCTCAACACAATAAAAATATACATACCAAACCTATAATCAGCCTTATACTAAATAGAGAAAAGAAAACCTGAAAACATTTCGTGTACTATCTATAGTGAGATAGAGTGAATACCCTATCCACTTTTATTCTTTTTTTTTTTTTTTTGGTTGTTTGAGACAGGATTTCTCTGTGTAACTTTGGAGCCTGTCCTGGAACTTGCTCTGTAGACCAGGCTGGCCTTGAACTCTGCCTTCTGAGTGCTGGGATTAAAGGCATATGCCACCACCACCTGGTTCACTTTTATTCAATATAGTGTCTAAAGTCAATAAATCAGGATAAAGAAAGAAAAGCAATGAAAACAGAAAAGACAGGACTGAAATTATCCCTATTTCAGAAGACATGATCCTACATCCAAAAGACCTTAAAGACTCCAACGTCACTCTCAGATATGATAGATGCTTCAGCAAAGTAGGTAGCAGGGTACAAGATCAACGTGCAGAAAGCAGTAAACTTTCTACAAAATAATAACAATGTTACTGAGAAAGAAATTAGAAAAGTATCCCAAATCATAACAGCTTCAAAAGACCAATGAAACAAAAAGCCACCAAGTGAGCATGGGGGGGGGTGCACATCTTTAATGTCAACACAGCAAAGGCAGAGCAAGCAGATCTCTGCAAGTTCAAGGGTAGCCTGGTCTATTTACATGGCTTCAGGCTAGCCACAGAAACTTTACCTAACCAAGAAATCGAAAGAAATCAGAAGGTGGAAAGATGTCCTGTGCTCACTGCCTGGGATAATTACTATTGTGAAATGACTATATTACCCAAAGTGGTGTGTATATCGAGTCAATGTAATCCCCATCAGATTCCAATGGCTTTCTTCACAGAACTAGAGAAAAATCTTAAACCTCATGGGGAAACTCAAAAGACCCTGAATAACAAGCAGAAAGATCGATGCCAGAAGTGTAACACCTGACTTCAAATTATGCGGAGCCATACTAACAAACACATCGTGGTGCCAGTACGAAAAGAGAGATGTAGACAAATGGAATAGAATAGAATAGAGGGCCAGATATAAATCCCACCTAATGACAAAGGCATCCAAAACATACATTGGGGAAAAAATAACCTCTTCAACAAATAGTGGTGAAAAAACTGGATTTCCCCAGAAGAATGAAATTTTATGTACACTAGTAATCTTGCACAAAAATCTATTCAAAATGATCAAAGATATTCTTCTAAAAAATCTTTTACTATAACTATTTTATGTGTGTGGCCATTTTGCCTGCATGTAGGTCTGTGCCACTGGAGGTCACTAGATCCTCTGGAATGGAGTTATAGATAGTTGGGAGCAGGCATTGGGGTGCTGGGAATTGAACCTGGGTCCTCTGCAAGAGCGGCAAGTACTCTTAATTACTGGATCATTTCTCTATTCCCAGATCAAAGATCTTAATACAAGACCCAAAGCATTGAAACTGCTAGAGAAAAACAGCACAGGCATTTCCAGATACAGACATATGCAAGAACTTTCTGGAAGGATCCCAGTGCTACCGGAAATACCTGTACGACATGACGAGTGGGATCACATGGAATCAAAAAGCTCATATGAAGTAATCCGTGAAGAAACAAAACGGAGGAAATCTTTGTCAATTATACATCAGACAGGAAGTTAGTATCTAGACTATATAAAGAGCTACAAAAGCTAAACATCAAAAATCTAAACCATGGCAGCTGGGGAGGTGACTCAGTTGGTAAAATACTTGCCATGTAAGCATGAGGACCTGAGTTTAGAGCTCCAGCACTAGGGTGAAAAGCCGGGTGTGGTGGAGCATATCTATAATCCCAGTGCTGGGGGGTAGAGATGGGAAGAAATTTTTTTTTTGAGACAGGGTCTCACTATGTGGCTCTGACTGACCACGCTGTCCTCAAGCTTATGGAGATCCACCTGTTTCTGCCTCCCAAATCTTGACATTGAAGGTGCACACCATCATATCTGCCTAAGATAGGCAGATTCTTGAAGCTCACTGGCCAGCCAATCTTGCCAAGGGCTAGCTTCAGGTCCAGTGAGAGCCAGGGAGACAGCTTAGCAGGTGCTCTGACAAGCTTGGCGACTTGAGTTTGATCCCAGGACTACATGGTGGAAGGGAAGAACTAACTCCCGCAAGTTGTCCTCTGACCTCTAGAGGCATGCCAGGCATGCTTGTATCCCCTCCCCAAATGTAATAAAAAATAACGTGAAAAGCAATTGAGGAAGACACTTGATACAACCTCTGGCCTCCCGCATATACACACGTACACATGTGTAATGCCCCTATACAAATCAAAACCATGCAATCAGTAAATGGGCAAATGGACTAAACAGGCAGGTTTTTTTAGACAGGGTTTCTCTGTATTATTTTGGAGGCTGTCCTCTGTATTGCTTTGGAGGCTGTCCTGGAACTTGCTCTGCAGATTAGGCTGGCCTCAAACTCATAGATACCTGCCTGCCTCTGCCTTCTGAGTGCTGGGGATTAAAGGTGTGTTCTGGCAGTTTCTTTTTTTCTTTTCTTTTCTTTTCTCTTTTTTTTTTGAGTGTTTTACTATTTAGCTCTGGCTATCCTAGAACTCACTACTTAGACCAGACAGGCCTCGAACTCACAGAGATCCAACCAGGCAGTTCTTAAAAAGAGAAGCACAAAAGGCCAATGAATACTTGACTATTTGTTCCACATTCTTAGCTATTTCACCAGTCAGAGTGGCTAACAAGGAAAACAACAAATGCTGAGGATGTCAGGGAAGTGGTCCTTATACATCGTTATGGAAACACGAGCTGCTGCATCACTACGGAAACCAACACAGTTCTTTCTCAAAAAAAACCCGCAAGTGAAGTCCTTTGAATGTAAACCTGAGTGGTACAGGTGGGCCATGTGATGGTCCTACGTCCTGCTGCAGGGTTATGTGTACATTATGCTTATTGCTGCACCAGCCATGGCAACTAAAAAGTATAATCGGTCTAGATGCTCATCCACAGATGAGCGGATAAAGAAACGTGGTTCTTACACATGATGGCATTGGGTTCAGCTGTAAAGAAAAATGAAATTATGAGAACTGCAGGGAAGTGAATGGAACTGGAGATAACTATGTTAACTATGTTAAATCAGACCAGAAAGGTACGTAGCATGCTCTTCTTTTACATGCAGATTCTTGATTTTAACTCTTGTGCATTTCTCGTGTGAGGTGTGTGTGTGTGTGTGTGTGTGTGTGTGCGCGCGTGTGTGCGCGCATATGTGTGTGCTTGGGTGCACGTGCGTGCACTTGTGAATAAGGGCAAGGGCACACATACAAAAGTATTATGAAAATGCCATAATAAAATCAATGGCTTGGGCTTGGTGTTGTGTGGTGTTCCAGACTTTTAATCTTAGAACTAGGGATGCAGAGGCAGGTGAAACTGAGTTTGAGGCCAGCCTGGTCTACATAGGAAGTTACAGGCTAGCCAAGGCTATATACAGTGAGACCTTGTCTCAAAAGCAAAACAAACAAGCAAACGAAACCATTCTTCTCTTTGATAACTTAAACTAAAAGAGAAGTGTGGGGGTGTGTATCCCCCTCGACATTTGAGAGTCTGAGTTTGAGAGGAGGCTTTAACTCAGTCAATTCGACTTTATGGATTTAGTATAAAAAGAACCCTGGGGGAACTGGGTGAAGTTTGTGATGTATAACCACAGCAAGGCCCTACCTTCTTTGTTTCCTTTCTTGTTGTGTTTCTTCAACCATTCGATGTTTTTCCTAATGGCTTCCAAATAGGCTTCTGTTTTCCCTGAAAAAGGAAGGAGAGTCAGATCAAACATAAAACCTACCGTACTTCTTCAAGGCAACAGCAATGTTCAAAACCATAAATACTGAACTCGTAGAGCAACTGGTAGGTGGATTAACGCCTGAGTAGTGTTCATGTTTCTATACATGTATGCACGCGTGTAGAAAGTTTTCATTCTTTCTTTTTTCTTTTCTTTTTATTTTGAGACAGGGTTTCTCTGTGAAACAGCCTTGGCTGTCCTTGAACTCACTCTGTAGACCAAGTTGGCCTTGAAATCACAGACATCCACCTGCCTCTGACTCCTGAGTGCTGGGATCAAAGGCATGTGCCACTACCGTTTGGTGTGTAGGGAGTTTTCAAAGACAACACTTGTAGGTAAGACTCCAGACACAGACCATGTTGGTGAGTATCCAGGATGGTTAGTTACACCACACACAGATTTAGTTCAATGTCTGCTTAGGCTTGTTGAAGAAAAGATCTATCTTATTTATTTATTTATTTATTTATTGAAGACAGGGTTTCTCTGTATTGTTTTGGAGGTTGTCCTGGAACTCACTCTGTAGACCAGACTGGTCTTGAACTCACAGAGATCCACCTGCCTCTGCCTCCATAGTGCTGGGATTAAAGGTGTGAGCCACCGATGCCCGGTAAAAAAGATCTATCTTATTTTTAATTGTGTGCATTTGTGTGTGTCTGTGAGTTGGTATGTGCATGTGTGAATTCATGTAGGTGTCCATGAAGTCCAGAAGAGGGCATCAGATTCCTCGAGGCTGGACTTACAGACAGTTCTGAGCCATCTGATGTGGGTGCTAGGAACTGAACTCAGGTTCTCTGTGAGAGCACTATGTGCATTTAACTGCTGGGCCACCTCTCCAGCCTCTGCTTAGATGTTTTGACTCCATTAACCAGACAGATGGATCTCCATGATTCTTAGATTGGATGGTTTCAGGCTAGGGATGGCTCTTCCCAGGAACAGTCTGAAGTCAAAGGATGAGTTAGAATGACAGATGTCTGCCACCTCCATCTGTTGAGGGTCCAAAATCTCTGGCTATAGTAAGTCTCTCACAACTCTAAGCCCAGTTTTGAGAGGGTCTAAGTCAACACTCATGAAAAGTAGGACCAGGCATTTGGTTATTTCAGGGTGATGAACTTCTGAACCAACTCTGATAAAACTCCTTCAGATATACCGATATGCTGAATATAAAACTATATATACAACTCTTGGCTGTGTTTTCCAGTCTAACTGAGCACCCGCACTAGTCTGGGAGTAGGTGTTGTTATATTAAGAATGAGGAATCTGAAGCGCAGGGAAGCTGAATGTTTTGGCTAAGGCCAAGAAATGCTAGCACTGGAATTTGGGCTGTGAGTTTCTTGGTCTCTCATATGAACATCATCTGAAAGTACAGATCCCACCTTCAGACACAGACAGTGATATAGCTCGCCCTACACTGAGGAAATCTATCATCTTTCACCAGATGAATTCTCCATGTTCGAAGTGCCTGTAGCAAGACACCAGGTAGAGTCCCTTTCTCTCTTTCATCTAACAGTAGAGACTCTGAGAGTTCAGCGCCTCTGTAGAAGTGCTGGCTGCCCAACTGCAGTGTGGCAATGACATCAATCTGCGGCCACTTGGAGCCCTGATGCCTGCATAGAGCTCCGTCTTCTTATCTAGCTGCGCCATGTGCTTACCATGTGCCACAGGCTGTTCTTTCTGCTCCAAAATGCATTCTCATCTGCTCTTCTCCCTCAACAACTTTTTGAGGCAGCCCTATTATCATCGCTTATTTCATAGATGAAGCTGGGCACAGAGAGAGTAAAGCAACATCATACATAATTACGGCTAGTTAGCTGTAGAGCCAGGACTGAACTTGGGGAATCTGATGACAGCCCATGTGCAGCCCATCACTGCCTCGAGATCTGCCAGAGTTCTAGATTCCACAGCTACATTTAAGAGGGCTCTCTGAACAGCTTTCTTCCTGGCCAGAAGCCCATGCAGACTTCATTAGGATGACCTCATGCTATCAGGTTCCCAATGAAGTGCTGAGAAACTTCTATGGAAAAGGGATAAGTGGACAATAAAAGAGATTTGCCACAACTTTCAGCCCTATTCACTGTCTTCACCTATGCAGGAGCAGCTTTGGGGGTCAGAACATGTACAAAGCAATGTCCCTGGCTAGTGTTAATTATCCAGTATAATCTACATGGACATTGTCACTGTTGCTTGTTGGGGAGTTGACCAACAAGATTTGGTAAATTTGCTTATTAATTTATTTGAGGCTAGGTCTCTCCATGATTCCTGATTGGCCTGGAACTTTCTACATAGACCAGGTTGGTCTTCAACTTGTGGCTATCCTCCTGCCTCTGTCTTCCATGTATTGGGATTATGGTGTGAGCCACCATGTCTCTTTCTGAATGTAGTAATATAGTGATGTCTATTTCAAAACAATTTACTTACATGAGGCTTTTTGAATGAAGAAAGAAATCTTAGTGCAATTTAGGCTACTTCCAACTTAATTTTTCTTATAAAGAGCTCAAATCAAGTTATGGATCTTTATATGATTTATTTTAATAAATAGATAACAATTTATCATTAGCATATTAGATAACTAGGACTTCTGAAACTTTTGAGTATCTTAATATATTTTTCTTTAAATAATTTAAAAAATAATTTAAAGCATTCTTTGATGTCATATTGCAATGTGGAAATCTTATGTGGGAAAAAGAAAATCAATGCTTAGTTACTATTTAAATACTACATTAAAAATGCTAAATTAGGCAGGTTAAAAATCTTTTGAGTGCCTGAGAATGGAATGTAGTTCAGTTCAGAGTGTTTGCCTAGCATGTACAAAAAGCCCCAGGTTCTATCCCCACCAACACACGAACAAGGCTTGGTAATCCATGCCTGTAATCTTAGTACTGGGGAGGCAGAGGCAGGAGGATCTAGAGTTCAAGGTCATATTCACCTACCTACTGAGTTCAAAACCAGCCTGGAGTACAAAAGATCCTGGTCTGGAGGGGATGGAGGCTCACAATTTTAATCCCAGCATTTGAGGCAGAGGAGTAGAGAGGGAGAGGGACAGAGGGGCAGAGAGACAGAGGGGCAGAGGATGGGGTAGCGTTAGAGGCAGAGGGTCTCTTTACCTTCATGCCTTCCCCATTTAAAAATTTATTAATTTTTATGTATATCATCTTTGTTCCCCTCCCATTCAATGATTTCTTTTTTTCCCCCCCCCTTTTTTTTTGTTTTTTTGTGACAGGGTTTCTCTGTATTGTTTTAGAGACTGTCCTGGAACTCGCTCTGTAGACCAGGCTGGCCTCAAACTCACAGAGATCCGCCTGCCTCTGCCTCCCGAGTGCTGGGATTAAAAGCATGCACCACCAACGTCCGGCCGATTTCTTATTTTTTATTTTATGTGTATAAGTGTATTTTCTCCATGTATGTAAGTGCACTGTGGGCCTGGTGCTGCTGGAGGCCAGCAGAGGGCATGGGATTAACGGAAATTGGAATTATATGATGGCTCTGAACTGCCGTGTAGGCGCTGGGAATGGAACCTGGGTATTCAGGAAGAGCAGTCGGTGCTCTGAGCCCTCATGCCTGTCTTTATTCCCCTGTGGTAACTGGACAGCTCTCACCTGACAGACAATAAAATGACAGCTCAGTACTTTAGTCTCCCTGCTCCTCAGGCATGTTCACACAGCCTCCTCAGTGGTTGTGCCCACGGACAAACCCTGGACATTAACACATATCTAGGGGTAAGGAGTCAAGCATCAGTCTCTGAATAAATAATCCTGAGGTGATTCTAGTGTGTGGCAAAGTCTGGCAGCCAGTGTCACTGGTACTGAGCCCTCCACACATTTCCTGGGGCATGGCTGAAAGCAGAGATGAAGTCAGGTGTCCTCTGCTCCTGGAGAGGAGCAGCTGGCTTTTATTTACATTTTCTCTTCCCTGAGCTGTAAAGCAAATCTTTTATTTATGCAGTGTGTTCTGAAAGCCCATGGGAGTCCACTTTGGAACACTGGCCTATTTTTTCCAATTTATTTCAGCAGTCTTTGGAAAAAAATAGCTCATGGCTGAGGTAATATGGCATGAGCCTTAAAACACATACTGAAGTGGATGGAAGAGAGCCAGAGTCAGTATACAGGCCTGCTTCTCCGGCTGTTCTGGTCCTCAGTGTTAGGGGAGAAATACCCCTTCTTCACATGGCCTTGTTGGCCCTGATATGTTATCCTGTCCTCTTCCTGCCCTGAACAAAAGTGTAGAAATCCATATGGTTAATTTACTGAGTACCACAGACCCTAAAGACATCAAAAATTCAAGAACATTTAAGACACAAACAACAACAAAAAGACCCTCCCCACTTCCTGCAAAAGAAAATGGGCCAGTAAGTAAGTGCACTTGCTGTCAAGTCTAATGACCCGAGTTCAAACCTCCGATCCAAGGCGGTGGAAGGAGAGGACTGACCCCTGAAAATCATTCTTTGACCTCAATGTGCCTGATATGCTGTGTGCTCCCCCATCAAATAAAGAAATAAAATGATAAAAACAAGTATTTATAAAGACTTGTTTCATGTAATGTTTAAAGCCATGTCGATATTACATGACTACAGTTTTTAATTGCAAATATCAAAGCAATTGGCATGAACACAGGAAGGGTCTGCAGGTCAGTTGGTTGAGTTCATGCCTAGGATGCATGAAGTCTGGGTTTGGTTCCTAACACCACATACTTTGAAATGGTGATACATTACTGTAATCCCAGCACTCAGGAGTTCAAGGTCACCTTCAGTTACATAAGGAGTCTGAGGCCAGCCAGGGTTAGGTGAGATGTTATCTTGAGAAAAGAAGGGGGGCGCTGGAGAGATGGCTCACAGGTTAAGAGCACTGGCTACTCTTCCAGAGGTCCTGAGTTCAATTCCCAGCACCCACATTGTGGCTCACAACCTCTATAATGAGATATGGTGCCCTCTTCTGTCATGCATCCATACATGGAGGCAGGATGCTGTATC